TTTGGGTCTGGCCACAGGATCTCATCATGTTGCTCTAATATCATCTGAAATATTGTTCCGTGCATAGCCTCTTCGACCATGTCCTACTCCTCTCTCTCTTTGTCTTCCTCTACCTCTTGCTCTCCTGCCTCCATACTTGCAAAGTTCTCAGAATGGCTCAACTGAGGCCTATTTGTGGTTGGCTGATCGGTGATCAGTTTTGTAAGTAAGTGTTTTCAATCACCCAATGTGTGTTGTATTTTGAATAGATGTGTTTTCCCAATGGTACCCATGAGATTTCATTTATGAACTAAGTGTCTTATGTATGAAATAGTGTGTAGTGTGCAGGAGCAAGTGTGTTGCAGAAAGGAGCAAGTGTGTTGCAGAATTGCAACTAAAGTGCAAAGCAGCGCTTTTGTTTAAGGTATGGTTACACTGTGTTTAAGGTATAGTAACAAAAGCTTCAAGTTGTGTTACTTTGGTCTAAGCATGTGTCTATAGTGTTCAAGCAATAGGCAAAAACTGTAAGCCTATAGTCCCAGACTAAAATATAAGTCTGAGCTGTTTCAACTGAAAGAAGCTTGCACTGACTGATCTTAAAATACATCAATGCCTTTGTTTTGTCTCAAGATGGACACCAGTAATGTTTTTTCTAAGGCATGATCATACAAATTACTTAAATGTCCTATAATTGCACTATGGCCTAATCCTGGCTTAGTCTAAGCCCTGTCTGTGAAACCAGGCCCTAAGGTTTAAGACATCATCTAATTCCTTATTGTCAGGAATATCAGAATGGAAAAGAACCTTATTGATGGAAATACTACAGAGCTGGTGGAACACAAGAAATAGAAGCTGATATTTGAAGCCAGAATCGTTCAGAATAATAACAGAAATAGAATAAATGTGAAATAGATTCTTCTTCCTCTTGGCAGAAAGAGCAGAGTGGAGAAATATTATGGATAAATTGACTAAGACACTTATTACAAGGGTAATAGTGGAGAATAATTTTAAAATGAATTTCTTTTACTTTATTATTAAATAAAAAATTATTTGGCACAGTCCATACATTAAAAAAGTAATGTTTGGGTAAAGTGTTAACCATTTTGCTTTAGCTTTACAGTTTTTCTCAGTCGCTTTGGTGCATTTCTCACATCACTATTTACATTTGCACAACAGTTAGTTCAACCTCCACAACATTTAGTCATTTGTGCACGTCATAGTAGCAGTTTCTCATTCCTTCGAACAAATTGCAAAATCAATTGCTTTCATACAACTCTCTGCTGTTTTATAACATTATCATTTGCTTATGTCATGTCAGTCAAAATTAACTATACTTGTGAATGCTGAATAGTCATTCCATATAAAACTAATAGTCCTCATTTCATTGCTTGAGTCATTACATACAAAAATGTTGAACTAGTTGTCAAAATCTGTCAAGCAAATTTTACAAACATTTTTAAATCTTTTTTTTTCCTGAAAATGTCTCCCAAATTGAATAATTTCTCTCAGGTGAATCTCAACTTCCACTGATGAGAAGGGGTGTGTGAAGCATTAGTTGCAACCAATGATAAGCCACTTCTCTACAATCACTGTCAGAGCTGAATCCCATAAACCCCCACTTTACAAGCATATATGAACCAAGCAGGACATAGTGTGTACCATTTCTACAATACTGTGACACAGAAATGGAAGGTCAGTCTCGTGGAAGAGGGGTGAGGGTGCGGGGAGGAAGGGGAAGGGGACAAAACAGGGGAAGAGGAAGAAGAGGCCAAGTACATAGGCAGATCCCTGATGAAATCAGGGCTACAAATGTGGATCATGTTGTCAATCACGGCCTCACAATGGCTGAGGCTGGTCGAAGCGTGCAGCCAAATGTTGGGAGAACCACTGTAAATTCAAACATTTCGTCGGGAGAACAGGTGTGTATAAATGGACAGTAATTCAGCACTAAACAATCTGCACTGCACTACTGTCATTGTGTCATACATGAAGCTTGCAGTGGGACAAGAACTTGTCACTGTACATTTTTACATTTAGACGTACAGCTTTACTGCATCACACATTTAGTGTATTGTAGTGTTACAGGAAAGATTTGCCATATTTACTGTAATTTTCCTCTGCACCACACAGGATTGCAAGACAACCTTGCAGAGCTGGAAGAGCTGGAGGGCAGGGAACTGCTGCACACATTCATATACCTTGATGAGGGGGGGGTTTCAATCTGGCAAAAGGTAGAAGCCGTGGAAGGAATCGCATTGGACAGAGCAACCATTGATGTCCCAGGCCAACGAGGACGGAATATTACTATGTGTGCAGCCATCTCAGAAAACGGCGTCCTCCCCCATATCCCCCGTCTTGGTCCATACAACACAACATCTGCTGACTTTTTTTAGACACTCTTTACAGGGACATAATCCCTGAGAATGAGAGGGGTCTAACTGGAGACCATCTGAGCAAGCATGTTGTTGTTTTGGATAATGTGCGTTTTCACCACTCAGATATCGTCAGACAGTGGTTTGCAGCACATGATAGGATGCTGGTGGCATATCTCCCTCCATACTCACCATTTCTAAATCCAATAGAGGAGTTTTTTTCCTGGAGGTGGAAGGTATATGACCGGCATCCACATACCCAAATGGCCCTGCTAGCGGATGCCATGGATGCAGCATGTGATGACATCACAGCAGAGTCCTGCAGAGGGTGGATTCGCCACTCGAGGAGATACTTTCCTCGTTGCATTGCAAGAGATGATATTCGCTGTGATGTAGATGAAATTATGTGGCCAGACCGAGAGGATCGTCTGGATGTGCATGAATGATTACAGTACTATGCATGTTCAGTTCCAATATGTTGTGCACAGCTCTACCCAAAGGGAGTTTGTTTGTTGTAAATAAGGGTGTTTTTTTTTTTTTTTTTCGCACAATGCTGTGAACTAATTGGAGCATATGCAGTAAAAATGTGAAACATACATTTTCAGTGTCTTGTACTCAGTTACCTCACTAAATACAGTAATGTGTAACTTTACTGTATTTTTCAAATGGCTGTGTATATAGTGCTGGCTTGAGCATTTCCAGGTAGCGTCACCAAGATCTGACTTTTTTTGCATTGGAAAACATTGACAGAGTAAACTGTCATAATGAAAACATGACAAAGTCATTTGACTATCTTGTTCATAAACAATGGTGTCAGGACTTTTCATCTTGATGACACTGACACTTTAATTGACATGAATACTCACGTTTGAGGAATGACCTATCCATTTTGAGCAAGCGACACACTTTTGCAGGTTATCAACTAGGTTTTGCAGTTTGTACTAATTGTTTTGAGAACTGCATTAACTGTTGTGCAAATGTAAATAGTGATGTGAGAAATACACCAAAGCGACTGAGAAAAACTGTAAGCATATCGGATCTGTCAAAATAATTTGAAGCTTTTGCAGGGCAGTATGACTGGGCAAGTGAGGAGGACGGCAGACATGATGGCTGTCTGTGTTTGTCCCAGATGGTGTGTCTGTGTGTGTGTGTGTGTGAGAGAGTGTGTGGATGGATGGATAGATAGATGGATGGATGGATTGATAGATAGATAGACAGATGGATGGATAGATAGACGGATGGATGGACAGATAGATAGACAGATAGATAGACAGAGAGATAGAGAGATAGACAGACAGACAGACAGATAGATAGACAGATAGACAGACAGACAGATAGATAGACAGATAGATAGATAGATAGATAGATAGATAGATAGATAGATAGATAGATAGATAGATAGATAGATAGATAGATAGATAGACAGACAGACAGATAGACAGACAGATAGCCTCTGATGCTCCAGACCCCGCCCCGCGGTGACGTCACCGGGCTTTAACAGTGGTTTAGACGCGCTACACTGCCATTACTCTTCCCCCGCAGCGCGAGGACCAGAAGATGAGATGTTAAAAGGTAAGAATGGTGTTCCTCTGTTATTATGGGATGGTTAAGCATGCTGTCTGTGCGTCTGTTGCTCGGCTGGGCACAGAGAAAGGCTTCAAAGATTCATTCACCTTGGAAAGATTATAAGAAAACACCTCGCCGCGACGACAACATTACAACCGGTGTAAGAATGACAGAAATAAGCTCTTGGATTACATGGACATTTCAACTGAATTAATGTAACAGTAATGAATGAGTCTGGTGCTTTTGCATTGTCTCTGCATATAACGTTAGTTCATAATAATGTATGATGCTTCTCATTTATTTTTGAATCTCAGATGCTGCCACAGGATCGATGTCTTTGTTGTTTTATATTTATTTTCTCCGTATTGAATATCTTTGTTTATTAAAAAGACGCGAAGCTGATATAATAGTCTGTGTCTTGATTACTGTAAATGTTATCGTGTAGAAGACTAGGCCTGTCTGAGCCCCATCACTTAATGATGACAACATCGGAGCTGCTGTTAAATATCAATCACCTTTACGTTAAGCATGGTTTTATTGTAGCAAAAGTGTAGTAACCATGTTTTTTTGGCGCATTGATTACCATTTTAACCACAGTTTTACTACAAATACCATGGTTAAACTATGCTTAGTGTAGCAAAACCATGGTTATTTTGTGGTTACCTTGGTTTAACTATAGTAACCATGTTTTTTGGGTTTAATTTGTAGTAAAACCATGGTTAATTTTCGTAAGGGCAATCAGACACCCCTTACAAGAGCACTGACGTTCTTCAAACCTTTATTGAACAAAATAATACGAGACAAAGACATCCCCATTAATGTCCATATTAAAGTGGACTAGGCTATTGGGCGATGGGTTGGGTCCACTGCTGGGAAAGCCGCTTTAGCTGGTTTCTACTGTACCTGGTCCATTGTAGCTGGTAGACCAGTTTTGAGCTAATATTTTAAGATTATCAAATTCCATTATGGTCTATACGTGACTACAGATTATGATGATTAAACTACTGAAACGTGTTCCCTCTCAGCTGCATGCAGGATAAAATGTGAAGGGTCAATTTTTTTAAAATTGAGATTTATACATCACCTAAAAGCTGAATAAATTAAGCTTTCCATTGATGTATGGTTTGTTAGGATAGGACAATATTTGGCTGAGATACAACTATTTGAAAATCTGAAATCTGAGGGTGCAAAAAAATTAAAAATCTAAATATTGAGAAAATCATCTTTAAAGTTGTCCAAATGAAGTTCTTAGCAATGCATATTACTAATCAAACATTAAGTTTTGATATATTTACGGTAGGAAATTTACACAATATCTTCATGGAGCATGATCTTTACTTAAAGGGATAGTTCACCCAAAAATGAAGATTCTGTCATTAATTACTCACCCTCAAGTCGTTCCAAACCCGTAAGATCTTTGTTCATCTTCGGAACACAAATTAATATATTTTTGATGAAATCCGAGAGCACTCTGACCCTCCCATAGGCAGCAACGCAACTGAAATGTTCCCAGACCCAGAAACGTAGTAAGGATGGAATAGTCCATATGATATCAGTGGTTCAACCGTACTTTTATGAAGCGATGAGAATACTTTTTGTGCGCAAAGAAAACAAAAATAACATTATTCTTTATTCAACAACTCTTCTCCTCCAAATCCCGTCTTCTGCCATTATCGAGAGCACCACGAAGCTCTCGGATTTCATCAAAAATATATTAATTTGTGTTCTGATAATGAACGAAGGTCTTACGGGTTTGGAACGACACGAGGGTGAGTAATTAATGACAGAATCTTCATTTTTAGGTGAACTAACCCTTTAACATCCTAATGATTTTTGGCATAAAAGAAGAATCGATTATTGTGACCCATACAATGCATTGTTGGCTATTGCTACAAATATCCCCCAGCGACTCAACACTGCTTTTGTGCTCCAGGGTCACATATGGATTACTCGCACAGATGACAGAATGGACTCTGTGGAAAACAGCAGCATGAAGCAGCAGCGCGCGTCCTCGCCAGCCAGATTCAAAGATTCGCCGTCCAAAGCGGCTTCCAAAAGCGCGTCTGGCAAAGCCTCCGGCGGCGCGTCAAAGAGCGGCGGTAAGAGCAGCCGCAGTAATTCTCCGGTCACCAGCAAAGACCGGCATGCGGCCCGAGGCGCAGCAGCTGTCCACGGCAGTGGAGCAGAAAGCCCGACTCTGAGACGTGCGGAGAAGAGCAAGAGCATCGAGGAGCGCAGCAGCTCCTCCGAGGAGCCCTACACCACCGACGAGCCGGGCCTGGGGGTGGTGTCCGATCAGCCGAGCTCCACCAAATCCTCTCAGGGCAAGAGAGAGACGGCGAGAGCCGATGGAGGCAAGACGGCCAAGAGCGCAGTAGGCTGCGGCCCGGGCTTCTGGAGGGAGGGATGCTTGCAGTCTGAGCTCATACAGTTTCACATGAACAAGAGCTTGAAGAAAGAGAGCGGCCTGCCGGCGAAGACGCCGAGCTCACCGCTAACGGAGCCGCAGCTGCCGCCCGCCGATGCAAACCGGCCCTCAGAGGCCTCACCTGCACCAAACCTGGAGCTGCAGGAGGACATCGAGAGACTGGAGGACGAGAACGAATACCTGAAGGTAGGATGTAGGCAGGGGTTAAATTGGGATTTGTTATGTGGTGGGGGGGCTCTATGGTATCGAGCTTATATATATATACTGTATATGTGTGTGTGTGTGTGTGTGTGTGTGTTTGTATGTATGTGTTTTGATTTTTGCAAATGTGATTTATTCTGAAACAATATTCTCATCAGTTTTCTGTCAGCTGTGACATATAAATCTGCGTGTTTTTTTATCATTTATCCAAGGGCATTTATTTTTTTACCTTTATAGGGCATTTTCCCTCTAATCTCATTAATACTTTCATTTCAAATTCTTACATTTGATCTATAAATTCAATTATAATAATGTGACTATCTATACGTTATCAAATTAAATCATTTACACTGAAAAATACAACTGCATTAAATAATGAGATTATTTTAAATATTTTTGAATATACAAGCAAGAAATGATGGTGGAAATGATACTTTTGAAATGCCAAATCCTCTTAATATTGCCAATAATTGAATATCTCTGGCTATCGTCGACACAAGATCATGTCTTTCGACGCAACCCAGGGCCTTTCGTTTCGACAGCACGTTGCCTGTTACGTCGTTTGGGCTGCTTTGTTGAGTGCAGTGGCACTGAGAACATTATATCTCACACACTGTAAGCTCTTTTATTTTCCAAGTAATAGTCCAACGAATCATTCGGTTTGTAATGCGTACCGAACCGAAAGCCTCGTACCGAATGGTTCAATACGAATACGTGTATCGTTACACCCCTAGTAGGATGCGTAATGTAGCTAGAAATTTGGCTTTATTAAAAAACATTTAAAATGAAATGCATACGATGTCTTTTTGTAATGAACAACATGCTTTCGATTCTAAATGTACATTTACATTTAGTCATTTAGAGGACGCTTTTATCCAAAGCGACTTACAAATGAGGACAATGGAAGCAATCAAAATCAACAAAAGAGCAATGATACGCAAGTGCTGTAACAAGTCTCAGTTAGCTTAACGCATTAAAATTTTAATTTAAATTACATTGATTTATATTTTTTTGTAGGACATAAGCCCATCCTGAGAACAAAGAAGAACTATTTTAAAGTAGTTTAGCATACATCTTTTTTTAAGGTTGATTAATAAGAATTATTGCAAGAAAATATTATTACAGTTTTTCTCGATTGCTAAAACACTATAACCAGGCTTTTGAACTAAAATTTCAAAACCATAATGCCATTTTTCAAAAGCACACCCATTTTGCTGAACTATAAACACTATTCCCCTGCTTTAACACATGGTTCACAAAAATCATGGTTCGGTTCGATACGACACAGTGGTGTCACGATTCAGTACGTTTTTGATACGGGGGGGTAATTGCTTACGTCGCAATGTTGGAAATATTTGGAAAAAAATATGCTTTGCGCAAGAGTTATGCCGGTGAACGTCTTAATCTCAGTCAATTCACTATATGCAGAAAGTGAAAGTAAAAACGGAATGACGGAGCTTTCTGCATCTGATGCGCATATTCTGTCTCAGTGACGAATCTACTTCAGCATATGCTGATAACGGTATATAGCTAACGGTTTTAATTTATTCCCTTAATATTTCTATTGTAGCCCGTATATAATGAAAAAAAATGAGAAGAAACGTATTTCGTGTTAAACAGGTTGTTTTTGAAAGTCGGTGCTTGAAACAGGCTAAAATAGATTTTTATTGATGACTGCAGTGTTTATATTTTAATTACAGGCCTGTAATTCATTGTATGTAGGCTAATAGACCTGTTTTAAAATACCTTTTAATTGAGGAGTAAATAGCCTAATCTTTTGTTATCCTCGCAGCGCGTCAGTTAACGTATGTGGTAACGTTAGGCCTAATATTGCGGGGAAAATGAATTGTAATTTTAATTTAATTATAAAAGTAACTTATAGGCTAATAACAATAGGCCTAATACAAATAAGAATGTAACAGGCCTACATTAATTGGAAATGCCAAATCCTCTTAATATTGCCAATAATTGAATATCTCTGGCTATCGTCGACACAAGATCATGTCTTTCGACGCAACCCAGGGCCTTTCGTTTCGACAGCACGTTGCCTGTTACGTCGTTTGGGCTGCTTTGTTGAGTGCAGTGGCACTGAGAACATTATATCTCACACACTGTAAGCTCTTTTATTTTCCAAGTAATAGTCCAACGAATCATTCGGTTTGTAATGCGTACCGAACCGAAAGCCTCGTACCGAATGGTTCAATACGAATACGTGTATCGTTACACCCCTAGTAGGATGCGTAATGTAGCTAGAAATTTGGCTTTATTAAAAAACATTTAAAATGAAATGCATACGATGTCTTTTTGTAATGAACAACATGCTTTCGATTCTAAATGTACATTTACATTTAGTCATTTAGAGGACGCTTTTATCCAAAGCGACTTACAAATGAGGACAATGGAAGCAATCAAAATCAACAAAAGAGCAATGATACGCAAGTGCTGTAACAAGTCTCAGTTAGCTTAACGCATTAAAATTTTAATTTAAATTACATTGATTTATATTGATTTTGAATAAACTGATAATGTGAGAAATGTTGAAGATGTCTGAATAGATTTTGGTTTGACCTTAAGTCTGTATGTAAACTGTATGATTAGAAAATATTTTTCCTTAATATGTTTGACAACTTGAATAATTAATATCATATGTATTCAAATTCTGAGACAAATATTATTAATGATAGTAAATAAAGGTACTAAATCATAACTTTTGTTGAACATGCAATAAAAGATTTTTAAACCAAAATAAATTGGTTGCATTTCTGACAATTGGCTCCAACTAGATTTTAAAATCTTCCACCATTATTTGTCACTGACCAACATAACATTATACGTATTAAATATAGTTATGCATATTTTTGTAAGCAAACCTGACTGTCATGTGAACTTGTGATTTATTAGCATGAAATTGAAGAAATGCGAGCGGAGATGGATGAAATGAGGGACACGTTCTACGAGGAAGACGCCTGTCAGTTGCAGGACATGCGGCGTGAACTGGAGAGAGCCAATAAGAACTGCAGGATCCTTCAGTATCGCCTGCGAAAGGCAGAGAGGAAGAGAATGCGATACGCAGAAACCGGTGAATTTGATGGGGAACTGCTGAGGAGCCTGGAGCAAGACCTGAAGGTAGAGTCAAATCCTCAAGGCAAACTATAATGCATGTAAACAAATAATGCACAGGTCAGATATGACATTCTTGACTTTGCTGCCAGACTGTACAAACGAGTGTCAAAAAAGCACAATCACAAAACAACAATGAATGAGACAGTGACAGTAAAAAGACAACAACATCTCTAAAATGTTCATTCCTCTACCAGGTGGCCAAGGATGTGTCTGTGCGTCTGCACAACGAACTGGAGAATGTGGAGGAGAAACGAACGAAAACAGAAGAAGAGAATGAAAGACTGAGGCAACAGCTGATTGAAGTGGAGGTGACCAAACAGGCTTTACAGAATGAGCTGGAAAAGACCAAAGAGGTGAGAGCGTCTCGAAATATACAGATGTCAAACTAAGCCATTTTCAGTGCACTGTGAGAAATATGGTATTGAATGAACCTTTTAAAACAATTTTCACTCAGAAATTGCTATAATTAAAATTACAAATACTTTTTTGTATGGTTTGTCTCTCTATACTCTTTTAACATATGCACAGACACATCAAGCATCATTTGTTTTGAGAATACAGATACCTTCTGTATAAAGAATGAAGTTCCATCATTTTTATTTCCAATATATTGCAAATTATGAACATGCAATCATATTTCTGTCAGCTCTCTCTGAAACGAAGAGGAAAAGATATAAAGAAATCAGAGAAGAGGACTCCACAAACCCCATCAGAGGTAAGAGCAATGTTGTTTGCATCCAGAGCCTTTCTGTAGCTCAAACAGTAGAGCATGGTGCTGTAGCAACACCAAGGTCATGGGTTTGATTCCCAGGGAATGCAAGGACTGACAACATGTGTACCTTGAACAGTGTTGCCAGACTAGGTTGACGATTTCCAGCCCCAAACGTTCACTGCCAAGATAATGTGACACAATTCTATTGCCATGTCAGCCAAGGTTTATAAGGACTGTTTTAACTTAATAGTGACAAACTAAATAGTGACAAAATAAGATTAGAAAAATTAATAAATTTCCCCAACAGGAAAACAGATCAAGACATGGCAAATACAGTAAAAAAAAACAAAACTAAATGCTTCTACCCAAACAGGTAGAAACTATTAAAGTGTGTCAGATGTTTGCAAATGGCAGACCATAAATTAATAGACCTTAACTCTTGGAAACACACATGCATCGTTTTCATTGTCAACAGCAAAATCAAGCCAATTCAAATGAAGACTAAAAAGCTCAGTATAAGTGATCGGGATAAGCAACATAATTAGTGCAACAAGCTAACTTTTTGGGTCATGCACACACCAAAAGAGCTGAAAATGTGTCATTCCTGTTTAAAAAAATTAACAACAACCATAATAATATTCTTACCTTCAGGTTGCGCTTTAACTTTAAACTTTAAACAGAACAAAAGCTGGGTTCACTCTCCCACTTTGTAGTACAACTTATATTACTGTAGCCACAACTTATGCCACTTTAGCATAGCCGGAAACTAAGGATTCGTTGGTAACCAGTTTGCCTTTAAAATGTAAATTCTAAAACCAGTGTTGGGCGAAGTTACTTTTAAAAGTAATGTATTACAATATTGCGTTACTCCATTAAAAAGTAACTATTTGTGTAATTTAGTTACTTTTTATGGAAAGTAATGCATTATGTTACTTTTGTGTTACTTTGTCACCTGGGCTGGGCTTGCCTATTTGTTTTTTAATTAAAAACAAAAAAACCCCAAAGTTATATTTTTGGCAACTGTAAAGGCTCTTTCACACTAAAAGTGAAATGAATAAGCCTCGGGCTGAAGGAAGTGTCTCTGCCTCTGAGCTTACTCCCAATTTCTCTCAACATGGGGACAGGAGTGGTGTCATTGAATAAACTGGAAAACAAAGTAACTGGCACTACTTATTTGAAAAAGTAACTTAAAAGTAATGCGTTACTTTACTGGTTATTTGGAAAAGTAATCTAATTACGTTGTGTCTAATAACTTGTGTTACTTGTAATACATTACCCTCAAATCCCACCAAACTGATCCCAAACTAACTCAAATTTTGTCCACCCATCAAAGCAATTTTGACCAGCACAATCAAATTCAAAACTACCCATTTGGGTGGGAATCCTCCCAATCTGGCAACACTGACCTTGGCTGCAATGTAGGCAGGGTTGCCAGGTTTTCACAACAAAACCTTCCCAATTGCTACTCAAAACTAGCCCAATCGCGTTTCGAGGGGGGTACCCCGGTAAAAATCGTGTTACGGAGAGTAAAATTCACATTTTAGGGGATATATATCACATTATTGGGGTTGCTTAAACCCACGGACATGAAAAACAACCCGCGGCAACAGTGTTAATGTAGCCCAATTCCGCGGGAAAACCGCAGATTGGCAACACTGAGTGTAGTGGATAAAAGTGTCTGCCAGATGCGTAAATGTAAATGACCATAGCACTCTTTGGTTTGCATCAACACATGGACAATTTGAAAGTAAATTAAACACCATTTCAAAACCATGTTTTCTTCCATAGGAGGAAAATGAAGATCTGAAATGCCAGTTGGCCTTCATCAAAGAGGAGGCTATCTTAATGCGGAAGAAAATGGCTAAGATAGACAAAGAGAAGGACCGTTTAGAGCAGGAGGTCCAGAAGTACCGCTCCTTTTACGGTGATATAGACAGTCCTCTCCCCAAAGGCGAGGCTGGAGGTCCTCCCACCACCCGAGAGTCCGAGCTGAAGCTGCGTCTGCGGCTGGTGGAAGAAGAAGCCAATATATTAGGCCGCAAAATCGTGGAGCTGGAAGTGGAAAACCGCGGGCTGAAGGCAGAGCTGGACGATATGCGTGGGGATGAGCTGTCTGGAGGGACGATGGACCCCTCGTCCAGAGAGCAGAGCGAGGCGCTGTCCGAACTTCGGCAGCAGCTTCAGTTGGTGGAGGACGAGGCTGAGCTTCTGCGCCGCAGTTTGTCTGACGTGGAAGAGCAGAATAAGAAGATGACCAGCGAGCTCAACAAGCTCAAATACAAGGCCGGGTCACACGAGGGATCGCGCTTTAGCAGCGGAGCGGTCGATGGAGCGAAATTTGAAGCCCTGCAGGAAGAGCTAAAAGCCGCTAGGCTGCAGATCAACGAACTGAGTGGAAAAGTGATGCAGCTGCAGTATGAAAACCGTGTGCTGCTGTCCAACATGCAGCGCTACGATCTGGCCTCTCATCTTGGCATCCGCAGCAGCCCGAGAGATAGCGATGCAGAGAGTGACTGCGGCCGCAGGGAAAGCGACGACGACTGCTCTCGCCTCACGCCGCATCGCAAACGTGAGGGTCCCGTCGGTGGAGAAAGCGACTCCGACGAAGTCCTCAACATCCGGTGCCTGACTCCCACTCGCTCCCTTTACACCCCAGAGGGACGTTTTTTATCCAGAGGTTTCAAAGACCGCCAGCAGATGATCGATATCCGGATGGAGGCGGAGAGATTGAGCAGGACCATCGACAGACTCATCGCTGATACCAGCACCATCATCGCGGAGGCTCGTGTTTACGCCACCAACGGAGAGCTGTTTGGAAGAATGGATGAAGATGACGAGGGCGGTCGGATACGAGAGCACGAGCTGCTTTACCGTATCAATGCTCAGATGAAAGCCTTCAGGAAGGAGCTGCAGAACTTCATCGACCGCCTGGAAGTCCCGAAACCAGAAGACCGAGAAACTGAAGAGCCTCTGTCAGTAAGTGCAAATAAACGCAAGACTTACCCAAGTCTGTTTAAAGAAATATTTGGCCTGAAATTAACATTCAATCATTATTTAACAATACTCATGCCATTCTTTTTTTTCAACAAAGGAGATATTTTGAAGAATAATACTACAGGTTTATTTTCATCGCATTACAATCACACTAAATGACTAACTTGAGTATTCATATTCATCCATTTTCAAGTAATTTTGTGAACAGACTGAATTTAAGTAGTTTATATTCACTGCAAATCTTTGCATTCTGCCATGAAATGAAATATAGCATCAGGTTTGACCTCAATGATATTGTTTGCAATTTGCATGATACTTGCAGATGTTATTGGCATTGAATATGGCATTTTGATTTTCCGTTTTGGTCTGTTTCTCAGACAAGGCCATCGTATGACTTCAAAAGGCTTGGTATAAAATGCATGATTAAAAAAAACGGCATACACATTTGTTAACTCTTAAAATAAATAAAACCAGCAGTTAAACTTTAGTTTGGGAACCAATTCTCACAATCTACTGATTTTTGCCTCAATAAGATCCTCATTTGATGTTTATTAATAGTGAGTAAGGTAGTTGTTAAGTGTAGGTATGGGGTTTAAAGATTAAGGGATCTAGAATATGTTCATGCAGAATAAGGCATTATTAATATGTGCTAATATGTGTTATTAATATGCATGCTAATAAGTGACTAGTTAATAGTGAGAATTGGTCCCTAAACTAAAGTGTTACCAAAACAGCATATGGGTTTAGAACAAGGGTGGGTAAATATGGCAAATTGTTATTCTGGGTTGGACTTTTCCTTTAATTTCGTATGGTTTGTTGCTTGGATAAATTTGATATTTTCTAACTTGAACATATGTAATGAATATTTCACTGTTCTGCTTCTCTTTAGACTCACTGTTCCTTTCTCTCTTATATTTCCTCCTCCGTTTTGATATCAACCCAGATGTTTCAACCTATTATTTTGCTTATTCTCATCCTTGTCTTATTTTCATCTTTATCATATGCCACAATTTTCAAACTAGTCTTTCTTTTCACTCTTTTCTTTGTTCTGTAAACTTTCGTTTTTAATTTATACTACAGTTTTGTTGCTTTCTTCCTTTTCTTTTTTTTCGGCTTTCTTAATTTATCATATTGATTTTGGACATGTCATTAAGGTTATGGAAGGTACAGGAAGTGATCATAATTTCAGGCACAGAATACAGTCACTCAGCCAAACACAAGCTTACGTTCAAAAACAGCGATGACAGCTGCGCTTCACTGATTGCATATATTTGGTGAGTATTTTTGTGTATTTCATTAACGTGTTACAATTGATACAGTTTAAATTATGCTTTTGCATTAAGTCCTAATTATCTGAATATTTATACAGAACATGAAAAATTATTTGCTCCAACATTTTATTGACTGTAAAACATGTTTTGCAAACAATAATAATACAATTTGTGCATTGTACATTAGACAAAAAAATGTGCCATTGATTTCTGCAGCATGTTACACTCTTAAAAATAAAGGTGCTTCACGATGCCATAGAAGAACCTTTTTGTCTAAATGGTTCCATAAAGAACCTTTAACATCTGAAGAACCTTTCAGTTTCACAAAAGGTTCTTTGTGGCGAAAGAAGGTTCTTCAGATTATAAAAAGGTAAGAAAGAGATGGTTCTTTAAAGAACCTTTGACTGAATGGATCTTTGTGGAACCAAAAATGGTTCTTCTATGGCATCGCTTGAAGAACCTTTTGAAGGGTTAGTTCACCCAAAAATGAAAATTAGGCTGTGCTTTACTCACCCCCGAGGCATCCTAGGTGTATATGACTGTCTTTATATGACTTATTTAAAGAAGTTAAATAAAAAGTGCCCGTCCATAAAAAAAGTGTCTCACACGGCTCCAGGGGGTGAACAAAGGCCTTCTGTAGCGAATCGATGCGCAACGCTGACCTCATACGTCATGCTCCCGGAGCTGCTTTCGTGTACAACTGCTGGCGCAAGCTACATTAAAGTGATTATTACGTTTTGAATATGGATATTTTTCTTACAAAAACGCATCGATTCGCTACAGAAGGCCTTTGTTCACCCCCCGGAGCCATGTGAGACACTGTTTTTATGGATGGGCGCTTTTTATTTAAGTTCTTTTGGACTGAAGCACTGCAACACCCGCTGAGTGGCATTAAACAGCTTGAAAGATCAAAGACCATTTTTAATATAACTCCGACTGGATTCGTCTGAAAGAAGAAAGTCATATACACCTAGGATGCCTCGGGGGTGAGTAAAACACAGCCTAATTTTCATTTTTGGGTGAACTAACCCTTTAAGCACCTTTATTTTTAAGAGTGTATCCTATTTATATTCTCCTTGTTCCTTCAAGAACCCAGTTGGCCATGTGGTTATTTGGAGATTAAAAAGTTCTTGATGTTACATTTTAGGTGATAAGTGTATTGGTAGTAAGTATAATCTGTTAACAGAGGACAAAGTGAAGCCCTTCTCTGACGCTCCAGTGCTTAGATGATTTTCTAAAGAACCTTATAACCATTTGACATCTGGATGTAAAACCCATTTAAAACCTTTATTATGAAGACTGCACTTTAAAATAAAGAATGTGTGATGTGTATATATATCAAATTTTGTTTTAAAGGTTGATGATCTGCTTTACACTGAAAACTGTGAACATTGGCAGCTGTTTTATTTTCTTCTTTTGTACTCATTGCGACCCTTAAAAATAACACTAGTTTGTGCACTACTGCAAAATGTGGCATTTTTACTGATTTTGTTGAAATGTTTGCTCTCTGTCTGTTTGATTCTCATAGTTATTGTCAGTATGACACGAGTGAATGGAGTGCATATGTATTTTAAACTGTAGAGATCTAGTGAAAAGTGTAAAATACACTCTAAAAGCAGATATGTGCAGTTTTTATTTTTTAGGATCTTTTCTACCTGACCTAACCTTTGAAATGTAACTTTGTTAGTGTGACCTAATCAGGTTGATAACCATACTGAATATTTTGTGACTTGTTGATAAGCCAGCGTTTTATGCAGCTTAAAAAACCATAAGTAAGCCATTCATAGTCTAATCTTCTGGAGAGTTATCATATTTGCATGTAGTGCTATGAAAGCTCCCCAATTTGTTTTGAGCGACACTCTAATCCAGGGATCCTCAAATCTGGCCCACGAGATCCACTTTCCTGCAGAGTTTAGCTCTAACCCTAATCAAACACACCTGAGCATGCTAATCAATGTCGTCAGGATCATTAGAAAATCACAGGTAGCTGAGTTTGATCAGGGTTGGAGCTAAACTCTGCAGCGCATTGGACCTCCAGGGCAAGATTTGAGGGACCCTGCTCTAATCTGACTCGACTGTCTGGTTGGTGGAGTAGTAATTATTGATGGGAACGTATTTGGAAAGCTGTTTTATTTGACTTACAATCCTGTTCGGTGGCGCCAGTAGTGCATAAATGACATACTTCATATTTATTTATATTCATATTTACATATTTTATTTATATTTATTTTAGTTTTTTCTAAAAAAAAAATATTTTATTTTAAACTGTAGAGATCTAGTGAAAAGTGTAAAATACACTCTAAAAGCGGATATGTGCAGTTTTTATATTTTTTTCTACTTTTCTACCTGACCTAACCTTTGAAATGTAACTTTGTTAGTGTGACCTAATCAGGTCCATAAGTAAGCCATTCATAGTCTAATCGTCTGGAGAGTTATCATATTTGCATGTAGTGCTATGAAAGTCCCCCCATTTGTTTTGAGTGACCCTCGACTGTCTGGTTGGTGGAGTAGTAATTGTTGATGGGAACGTATTTGGAAAGCTGTTTTATACTTACAATAAAAGGCGCCAGTGGTGCATAAATGACATACTTCATATTTATTTATATTCATATTTACATATTTTATTTATATAGTTTTTTTCTAAACTTCTGAAACCGGGAATGTAGGCCACATTTTAAAATAAAGCAAAGTCGATCGCCACCGTATGTTGATGAACTTGGCTAAAATGCTACTTGTTAATTCTGATTAGAAATAAATGTAAAAAATATATTGAACATGGAGTGTAATATTGTCATACTGAAATGCCTGAGCAAAGTCAGTCGCCAAAGTATTTCTGTATAATAGTCTTACACGACTGCGTTCCCAAACAGCAGCATCCACCTCCGAAAGCATTGAGAGCCGTTATTGCGCTACGTCTGCTCGCTCCGAGGCGCAAGTCATTTATATCATATATGATCATTATTATTCAGTGGCTTCTCCTATATTCTTAGTGAGATTTAGTGCCACAGTTTACCAGGAAGGGACGATTTTGTTCTCTTTGACACCGTGGAAACGGTGCTTTATTCGCGTATGTTTTATGCGCTATTCCAGTTTTGCGCATAAGTTTAATTCGAATCTTTGGAGGGAAACATAACAGCTATTCAACATGTGCACGGTCATTTTCCAGGGTAAAAGATACTGTTAATTGAACACAGACTATAGCGAGGCATGTTGTCACACTATGTGGGGTAAGTTGTCACACTGTGAACTTGATGTGAATTGATTTAAGTTAAATAACTTATGGCATATGCAATAGAGCTATTGTTTGAAATAAATATAAGGTAATATATATAAATTCCACTGAATGCATTATACAATATTTAATGTCTTTCAGAAAAAAAATTAACCATTATGAAGCACAAACCAATTCAGAAAAAAACAATAAACATTTCTTCTTCTTTTTTTAATTTTAGTTTTGGCCGACAGAAACACAAATAACATGCCATTCAATAAACAAAATAACAGCACATAAAAAAGTTTAAAATGAGTCATTTATGGAAAAAAAAACTTGTTTTTAAGTTTTTGTTTAAAAATTTAAATGCTAAAAAGAACAACAATCTCAGCTGGCATTGCACACAGATAATGCATGCTTTAATTATTTGTTGGTTTTCAAATGCTTGTGTCATTAAGCATAACTCGGAGATTGCATAGGCTTTGTGTAACACAAACACCATCAAGTGCAAATATATCCTGTCAACAGCAGCTTTGTGGGTAAGCAGCCACACAAGACCAGCTATTAGATCATATCTACAAAGAATGAAAAAGTAATTTGACATGTCACGGTAAGATATAGGAGTAATATGTGGAAACTATGTTACCAAACTAAAAATAGCACGCACTTCTGATTAGTTTTCACCTTAGTGCATTGTCCCTCTCGAATGGAATGCTTTCATTTCTGTTTATGACATCCTTATGAAGATACAGTCCAGATCGTCTTGTGTTCACTATCCACAGGGAGAGAAGATTAGGGTTTTATACATGACTGAGTGTGAATGAGTGACTCAGACACTCCTAATACAGTAGCACAGACAGCATTGCACATGAGATAAGGAGTAGAGGAGCTTTGAATGGTTGTGTGATGCCGTATCTTGTGACGAACTGCACCTCAGGACATATACTAGTACACACAAAGCGTTATTAGACAGACGAGACTCCATCATGCTTGGTCTAAGTTAAACACACTATAAAGACATACAAAACAATAGCCTTATAATGGTGTGCTGCTGTTTAGTGACTCTGCGGACTTCACCGCAACTGCACTTGTTTGAATTCAGAAAACGATTCGGGGTTAGCCGCACAAATCCACCCAAAGTATTAGTTGGTGCAGAGAACAGAATTCAGGGAGGGGTCAAGCTAAACTGTAAAAACGTGTTTTCTTTGCCGTCCACATCCTACCACAGCACATACTTTTGTCCCAGTGGATTTCTTAGGTTTACCGCTATAGGCATTCACAGCAGGGTATGTGCCAGCATATTTCTGAGCATATTTGTGATCTTTAAAACAGAGATGAGTTACTCCAGGGCCCCACCCTTAGGAATGCGAGATGCTAAAGGATTGGTCTTGCTGTCTATTAATAGAGAGCTGTTTTTGTGACATTGTTACCCAGACACAGAGCGCACAGCAACCGCGTCATTATATTTAGTCTTAAAACTACAGCAGCACCCTACCACTGTCAACTCTGGTTACATGGCACATCAGTGTTTCACATGCCCTCTGCTTGTAAACACACGCAGCTAGCGCACCCAGGAGAATGCATAGGTTCAATCCGCAACTGCACTTGTTTGAATTCAGAAAACGATTCGGGGTTAGCCGCACAAATCCACCCAAATTATTAGTTGGTGCAGAGAACAGAATTCAGGGAGGGGTCAAGCTAAACTGTAAAAACGTGTTTTCTTTGCCGTCCACATCCTACCACAGCACATACTTTTGTCCCAGTGGATTTCTTAGGTTTACCGCTATAGGCATTCACAGCAGGGTATGTGCCAGCATATTTCTGAGCATATTTGTGATCTTTAAAACAGAGATGAGTTACTCCAGGGCCCCACCCTTAGGAATGCGAGATGCTAAAGGATTGGTCTTGCTGTCTATTAATAGAGAGCTGTTTTTGTGACATTGTTACCCAGACACAGAGCGCACAGCAACCGCGTCATTATATTTAGTCTTAAAACTACAGCAGCACCCTACCACTGTCAACTCTGGTTACATGGCACATCAGTGTTTCACATGTCCTCTGCTTGTAAACACACGCAGCTAGCGCACCCAGGAGAATGCATAGGTTCAAAGACAGTGTGCCAGCACATTTTAGTGCTATAGGTTTATACAAACACTGCTTCACTCTGGTTCGTTGCTAAGAGAAGCATAAATAAGATTCACCTATTTTTGTCTTGGCGGTTGCACAGATAGTGGCACATGAAGGTTTAGTCCAAGCAAGACTTTAAAACATCACAACTGAGTTCTCAGCTATTTTAAGATGTCCGATTTTTGTCCGATACATTTTATTTTCAGGATTCTTTGAATAGAAAGATCAAAAGAACAGCATTTATTTGAATAGCTTTTGCAACATTATAAATGCCTTTACTCTCACTTTCGACCAATTTAATGTATCCTAACTATAAGTATTCTTAAAAAACTTTTGGTAACACTTTATTTTAGGGTCTCTTAACTAGTTGCTTATTAGCATGCATATTACTAGAATATTAGCCATTTATTAGCACATATTAATGCCTTATTCTACGTGACCATATTCTCCATCCCTTATCCTACCCAATACCTAAACTTAACAACTACCTTACTAACTATTAATAAGCAGCAAATTAGGAATTTATTGAGGGAAAACTCGTAGTTAATAGTGAATAAGTGTTCCCTATTCTAAAGTGTTTCCAAACTTTTAAACTGTAGTGTATAGCATGAAAAAAAAAATCATATAACACAACAAGCAAAATTATATGTAATGATTTATGCAGACTATAGGTCTCAATGACATCAACAGCATCTGTCAGCTGCAGAGTTCAGTCAAGCTCAGTGACAAATATGGATTTAGTGTCTGCTGTCTAGCGAGCTCTCTTTCCAGGATCATCGGGGGGTCAGCATACCGATGTGGCCTCTCCATTACATGCAAAACTCTCGGCACTAGTCTGAGCTGTTTGTGTGAGTAGGCTTAGGCTGGGCATCCGATGAGGCCTTGGTGAGGACTCAAGGTCCATTTCATCCTATTGGCGATAGGTTTACCTAAACTCCTCTTTCCTGTCCAAATGCTTGCTTTTCTCTGTCCAACTGTCCTAAACACTCATTTCCTATTTAATGGTCAGCAAATCCCTGCCTCTCTTCCCCCACAGTTAGAAGCCCGGGGATGTAGTTTGGTGGTGGAGACTGTGAGGAGTCCAGAACTAGGGGACACTCTGAAACAGGAGAGAGCAGAACAAAAGAAGCTGCTGGCAGACACTCACAGTGCGGCCATGGACCTTCGTTGCAGGCTGGAGAACAGTGAGAGGGGCTGGGTGAAGGAGAAATCTGAGCTGCTGGAACGCTTTGAGGCTGAGAGGAAGGAGTGGGAGAACCAGCTCATGGACATGCAGCGGAGGATTGAGGAGGTGAGTCTGTGGATGTGCGCCACTCCCCACAGCTCAGCTGAAAGAACGGTATCTTGTTTCAGACCGATTCCCTAAGTACTCCTGCTTACTTCCATGCTAAATGAACGCTCTGCAAGTAAGCCTTGATGGATAATGGTAACAGCTAAAATTGGAAGCGGTGAAGTCACATTATATAAACCTTGGAATTGCAAGTGACTGCCAAAGGAAGTTTAGCTCAGTGGTGACTGGCAATCATCAGACAGAAGCTGAGAGCTTGAAGTTAGTGGCAGTGAAAGTGCAAACATATATGCATTTGGCATATGTTTCATTAAAAGTGCATTTAAGCTATGCATATTATCAGTATGGGCACTCCTTCAAAATCAAACCAAGAACCTAGGTGTTGCTATTGCTCTATTCTCTACCATTTGAGCTGTATTTCTTAGGTCCATTTGCGACCTTTCCATAAACGAACCTTTTCCATCCAAGTCTGTCAAAGTGTAATCCCATACACCTTGACTTCCAAATGCTTAGCTCTAGACCAGTATTCCTCTAATTCAGCCCTGGAGGACCACTGGCATGCAGAGCTTAGCTCAAACCCTGATCAAACCTGTAATTTTAGTTACTAGTAACTCTGAACACCTTGATTAGCTTGCTCACGTGTCTTTGATTATGCCTGCAGCTAAACTCAACAAGGCAATGGCCCTCTAGGGCTGCATTGAGGGACTGAACCATGACCTAGATTTTTGGTAGGTGGTTACATATGCATTTTGGCAGACAATTTTATCCAAAGCAATTTACACCATATGAATGAAATAATGAATGAATGATGCATTTATATAGCGCTTTATTGTGTATTGTTGTACACCCAAAGCGCTTTACAATCATGTGGGGGGTGTCTCTCCTCAACAACCACTAGTGTGCAGCATCCACTTGGATGGTGCGACGGCTGCCACAGGACAACGGCGCCAGTGCGCTCACCACACACCAGCTACAGGTGAAGAGGAGAGAAAGTCATAGAGCCAATCAAGTGGTTGGGGATTATTAGGTTCATGGCACATATTCATGGTATAGCCTATATTTTATAATTTCATGCATTATCTGGGAATTGAACCCACAATATTGTCATTGCGAGCGCAATGCTGTTCTACAGGGATGTCCCAACCTGCTCCTGGAGGGCCATTGTACTGCAGAGTTTAGCGCCAACCCTAATTAAATACACCTGAACCAGCTAATCGAGGTCTTCAGACTAATTAGAATCTTCCAGGCAGGTGTGCTGGAGCTAAATTTGGCAGGTCATTGGCCCTCCAGAAGCAGGATTGAACAGCCCTGCTCTTGTTAAATGACAAATGTCTGAGTTTCGGAAGGTGTACCAAGGACTACATAATTGTTTTGTCTTTTCTAGTTGTACAATGAAGTGAGGACCCACCGTATGGGAAGTTCTCTGAGACCAATTACTGATGGACAAAATGCGCTAAGGCTCAGCTCATGTTCTGCCAGCACTTTGTCGAGTGCAGTAACCTATACCTCAGACGCCCAGAGCAATGAATATTCTGAAGCTTTAACCCAGCAAAGCAATGCCAGCATCGACTCCCAACCAAGTCAACTCAGTCACGCCAGTGAATCCAGCGACCAGTGCAACAGCGATCAAAGCGAACAATTAAATCAGCAAAGTGCTGATGAACAACAGGTCATAGACACTGCAGAGCTGGAAGAAATCCTGGAAAGCTGTTTGAAAAAGAAAATAGGGAACAAGTCATGCTTCATTGGACAAGATGACCTCCTTAACCCTTTCAAACGATTTCAGAGCATGGAAATATGCTGTGGAAGTGACAAAAAGAAGAACAATACTGCCCTTAATGCGGTGAGACTTTATTGTTCATACCACTCTAACGGTGGTACAAATACTAGGTCATCTTTCAGGATTTACTATTTTACTCTTGCTATACATTTTTGCCAAACCTCCTGAACTACTCCTAGGGAGCTGTAAATCCACAGTACATTTACTTATAATCCATTATATTCCAGGTTAGGATGCTGCTATGTGGGGCTAGAGATGTGCTTTATTATATTGTTTGGTCTGAGGTCTAAGGTTTGCGTCTAAGTCCTCTTATTCATCAACATCTTGTAGGCACTTAAGGAAATTGCTCGTGTGAGTGAAGAACTCTGTAGCTACCAGGATGACACAAAGAAGTGGCCTGATATTAAGAGGTAAACATTGCTGCAAACAGTTGCTACATGCATCACAAATAGATCAGTGCTTTATAATGACCTCACTTTGTTTGGTTTTCCTTCTTAGAAGCCGCAGTGAGTCAACGTTTTTTCTAAGAGAGGGTGAGTTGGTGGAGAGGTTAAAGGACAATTTGGAAATGGAAGACACAGTTTTGTACTTGAAAAACATGAGTGAAGACCTTAAATCCCTCGATGAGCAATACTGGACGAATTGGGAAGGTTGTAACATGGAATCGCAGCAAAGTGAAGCTAAGCCACAATACAACATAAGACAACAAGCCCCACCAATACCGGCCCGTAGTACATCTTGGTACCTAAGCAGTCCTTCCGTTTCAGAAATGGAGTCCATTGGAACAGAGCAAGGGTGTGAACGGCCAGGAACCCACCCAGACAGAAAGTACACCAGCCCCGCAATTGTACGAAAATTTGAAGCAATGCTTCAAGAAAATGAGGGGAAAATTCTGACAGACTCTGGGAATGTAGCCTGCACCGTGCCTGTTGATTCCAAGTGCAATATCAGCTCCTGCCAGAGCCGCTGGTCCTGCGATGGAAGTAGATTTGGCAGCAACAAGTTATCCAGATATGTACCTGTTAAGAGATGTCTCTCAAACGTGGACATTGCAGCTTCAGCCTCAGATCGCAGTCTAAACCAAATAGATGAACAAAACAAGGGTTCATCTCATCCCATGACCATGCCTACAGATTCTGTTGCATCGCCAGACTTTATTTCACCATATCCCAGTGCTACAGCTACTCCCATTAATGAGAGACTTGATCAGAAAACTGCAGAGTTCAACCGTACGCTCTTCCAGGCAGGGATGGGCGTTCTGTGTGATGAGGATATTTCCATGAATGTATCCACTGATTGTTTTCACAGTCTACCAGAGGTCATATCAAAGGACACGTTTATAGCTAGTCCTTCGAGGCACGTTAAAGACAATCCGAAGGATTTGCTCTCGGATCTTGTGGCACAGTGCCCAAAAGAGGAGGGAAGAAAGAAGGAAACAAAGGACCTTGTCACTAAGTCTTCATCTCTGCAGCAGGAACTTAGTCTAAAGCAAGACAGTGAAGTTAAGCCTTTATCGGCTTCACCAATTTCAGTTGACCAGCTTGTCCCAAGTGTTGGAGAAAAACACTTTGAACTGAGTGTAAGTCCACCAAAACTGCAAACCCAGTTGGAAAGGTCCAGCAAAGTTCTGGACGTTGGTACAGACCAACAGCAAGCAGACAAAAAACCCAAACAGACAAAAAAGGACATGTGTTGCACCAGGTCTCGGATTCTGGATGAAAATCCATGGAAGCCCTCTACGCTAGCGGCCTATCCTCGTCCGATGGAGTCTAGGTCCAACTATGGAGCTGTTGAGAGGATTCTCAAAAATTACGAGGATTTGGAGAGATCTCAGGAGCAGCAGCAGCCACAGTCCAGTCCAGGGAAGAAGGAAGACCTCGTGGACCTCTTGGAAATGTTGGATATGCAACATGAGCCTAGATCCAGTCAGAGACTAACACACACACCGCACCACCAGGCCATAGCCCACAAAGAGACACATGTAACAGTGCAGGTCAGTACTGCACACACTTCCCAACATAGACCCACGCCATTCAAGCCACAAAAGCACACACTTTCACCCGAACTGCAAACATTCAAGTACATGCTAAATGACTCAACCGAAGTGTATGAGGTGCAAGTGTAGATGACTGCGGTGTATTAAAGGGATAGTTCACCCAAACATGAAAACTCTGTCATCATTTACACATCCTCAAACCTGTATGAATTTCCTTCTTCTGTTGAACACAAAATAATATATTTTGAAGAATGCTGGTAACCAAACATTTGACGGTAGCCATTGACTTCCGTAGTATTTTCTTTCATACTATGGAAGTCAGTGGCTACCGTCCAGTGGAGGGTGAGTAAATGACGACAGATTTAAATTTTTGGGTGAACTATCACTTTAAAGCCCAAAGTAGCTAGGCCTATACTTCGTTTTTGTACGTGTGCAAAACTCCATTTGATGTTGGGCACTGTTCGCTTTCCCTCGTGTACACGTAAAAAGTGAAGTATACTTTGGTCTTAAGTAGCATTTTATTCAATACAAGAGGTCACTTTGTTTCCAATGCGTTTGCTAAAATGTCCGAGAGGCTGTGTTGTATTGTGAATATACACATGGTTAAAGAGTGCTGGAGTACCTGCAAACTTCTTCAGCTGTGACATACAGGTAAAAATTGTTGCTGTATAATAAAAATATTAAGAACACTAATTTTCATTAAAACATTTTATTTTAGTCATAAATTAATAGGTTAATAGGTTGTCTCTATAAGTGCTAAAACAGTAAAGTTAAACAGTAACTGGTGAATGTGTGTGAACAGAGATTTTTCTCAGTGCTAAATAACAGTAACATTAGACATTGCTTAGAAAGATTATAAAAAATTATTGACAACTGAAAGTTTTTTTTTTTTTTCCCAAGCCTGGAAATATTTAGAATTTATTGTTAAAATACCTCGTTCCCACAAAACCATCTAAGCAACACAATTAAAATTCCTTAAGTTGAATTTCTGTCAGAAAATATTGGCAGATTGCTCAAAGCGAGCTGCCCAGAAGCTTCTTATTGTTGGATTGAGGCTTGAGATGAAAAGAATTAGTGGCACCAAAGTTTAATTTGCATCTTTCATGTCTAGCTCTTTAGAAAACCTCAATTAACTGTTTTTTTTATAGGAGGCTAAGGTATGTGGTGTAATTACAGAAACATGTAGCCAGGAGTCTAGTGAAACTAGTCCTCTGCACGGACTGCCTGCTTTGTAAATTACACAACAAAATGGCTCGAAATGATTGTCAGATGAGTCAGAAAAGCATTAGAGAGATTTCATCAGTTCTTTTATTTTCACTTAGTTCTAAAATGGAGAACATGTGCAGGAGACAAAAGTTCAGCCATTGCCTTAAATGCAATGGCATTGAAAAAAAAAATACAAGAAACTATATATATATATATATTTGTTGGATTATGATTTTTTCCATGACAATTAGGCACCCCCTCACCCAAGTTCTAATTGCTGTGTTGCACTTATAAAAATCATCCTGTTTTATCAAATTAAGTTTTATCAGCTTACTTAGCAATTTAAATAATATATCATTTCTTTTTTATTATACACTATAGGTTTGCATCATAGATTGTGAGAATAATTCAAATTAGGCTTCTCTTTTATTAATGCAAAGTATAATTTGATTTGTGTTGAATTATGATATAAACATCGTGACGCTCTGCGATAGATCCTTACATGAAAGCACACCGAGCTAATGTAGGTTATTGTGCTGTTGACAGGAATATTTAAATCCAGTGAGATTTCATAAAAATATTTGTCTCAACAGCAATGCAAAGAGTCCTCTGTAACTATCAAGAAGAGCTTTTCACGACCTGCGTGTCCGGCAAAGAGACGTTTGCCCTCTCGTTGGGCTAGCCGCTTGTCTGTCACGTCTGCATCGACTCCCTCACCGCCACCAACAACAACACCACCACCCACAATCTTCACCCAGAGACAAACACTCACCTACTCCAACTTTCACACAGAGACCATCATCTAAACGGCCGTTAGATTACGTCCAAAGCCTTTAAAGCCGTACATGTTGCCTGATTACCTGTGTAAATACCAACAATGACTGTCCAGTTTTGTTGTTTACATTTCTATAACCATGAAATCAAACTGCCTTTTCATTCTTTTTTCTCAAAAACATGTACATTTCATTTCTACCAATGTGACTTGTTGTTTTCTGTTTTCTTAAACCAGTATTAATCTGTCGTCATATTTTATAGCTGCGAATGTAGACCTGTTTTCTGTCCGTGCTTCATATGTGGCCTCGTTTGTGTGTGAGGTCTTATGTCTGATTGAGAATATCTTTTTACCAACTTTACCAAAACCACTGACTTGTGTTATTACAGAAACTAACGGATCCTACGCTCCGTTTACCTGCTTATCTGATCTGAGACATATCATTTAGACAATGCCTTTGCAGTCCTTTTTCTTGATAATTAATATCACAAATGAAACTGTATTCAGCATTTATAAAATAAAATATTGACACTCATTCCTAGATGTAGATGTGTTTTATTCATAATCTATTTGGTCTTCTCTTTTCAAAACTGGTGTTTTGGATGTGGTGTTTTTTTTTGCATTTAATTAAATTACTTTAATTGGACTTTACCTCGCAATTGCGAGATATAAAGTAACAATTGCGAGATAAAGTCACAATTGCGAGATATAGTCACAATTGCGAGATATAAAGTCACAACTGCGAGATATAAAGTCACAACTGCGAGATATAAAGTCACAACTGCGAGATAGTCACAATTGCGAGATATAAAGTCACAATTCAGAATTGCGAGATATAAAGTCACAATTGCGAGATATAAAGTCACAATTGCGAGATATAAAGTCACAATTGCGAGATATAAAGTCACAACTGAGAGATATAAAGTCACAATTGTGAGATAAAGTCACAATTGTGATATATAAAGTCATAATTGCGAGATATATTCACAATTGCGAGATATAGTCACAATTGCGAGATATAACGTCACAATTGCGAGCTATAAAGTCACAATTGCGAGATATAAAGTCACAACTGAGAGATATAAAGTCACAATTGTGAGATATAAAGTCATAATTGCGAGATATAGTCACAATTGCGAGATATAAAGTCGCAATTGCGAGATATAAAGTCACAACTGAGAGATATAAAGTCACAATTGTGAGATATAAAGTCATAATTGCGAGATATAGTCACAATTGCGAGATATAAAGTCGCAATTGCGAGATATAAAGTCACAACTGAGAGATATAAAGTCACAATTGTGAGATATAAAGTCATAATTGCGAGATATAGTCACAATTGCGAGATATAAAGTCGCAATTGCGAGATATAAAGTCACAACTGAGAGATATAAAGTCACAATTGTGAGATATAAAGTCATAATTGCGAGATATAGTCACAATTGCGAGATATAAAGTCGCAATTGCGAGATATAAAGTCACAACTGAGAGATATAAAGTCACAATTGTGAGATATAAAGTCATAATTGCGAGATATAGTCACAATTGCGAGATATAAAGTCGCAATTGCGAGATATAAAGTCACAACTGAGAGATATAAAGTCACAATTGTGAGATATAAAGTCATAATTGCGAGATATAGTCACAATTGCGAGATATAAAGTCGCAATTGCGAGATATAAAGTCACAACTGAGAGATATAAAGTCACAATTGTGAGATATAAAGTCATAATTGCGAGATATAGTCACAATTGCGAGATATAAAGTCGCAATTGCGAGATATAAAGTCACAACTGAGAGATATAAAGTCACAATTGTGAGATATAAAGTCATAATTGCGAGATATAGTCACAATTGCGAGATATAAAGTCACAATTGCAAGATATAAAGTCACAATTGCGAGATATAAAGTCACAATTGCGAGATATAGTCACAATTGCGAGATATAAAGTCACAATTGCGAGATATAAAGTCACAATTGCGAGCTATAAAGTCACAATTGCGAGATATAAAGTCACAATTGTGAAGAAAAAAAGTCACAATTGCAAGTTTTTATCTCGCAATTCTATGAAAAAAAGGTCAGAATTGTGAGATAAAAAGTTGCAATAACCTTTTTTTTATTTTTTTTATTCAGTGGCGGAAATGGGCTTCCATACAATGTGCCACTAAAAATGTCACTTTGAATACAATGTCATTTTACATGCTTTGTACCTCACATTCCTGGATCTAAAACTCTATTTTAGTGAGCTAGTGTAGACATTTAGACTCCAACCTTGCTGTCTTTAGTAGGCTAACATACAGAATTAAGTCAGAAAATGTTTTCGCAGCTGCAGCATCCTGTCAGAAAACCTTAGCCGGCATGCCAGGACAAAGATCACCTTCCCCAGGCGCAAATCAGCTCATCCTTCTCCACATTTTTTCCGCTTCACTCAAACATGATCTTTCCCAACAGGAAGCCAGAGGCCCAACATAGGCGTCTGCGACAGAAAGATGGAGCATCTGTCGACCTGTCACTGAGCAATCTGAAATTTGACGACACTTGACTGTCGTCTAAAGGCTCCACGTGTTTGTTCCTGCACTCTTTTGGGTTTAGTACTTTGACTAGACATTATTTTATACTGTACCATTGTTTCTGGTTATAACATGTACATAATACCTTGGCAGGGTATATATATATTGTATATTTTATGTTAGAGGTTCCTTAAAACACATATATACAGTAAATAAGTAAATGAATGACATTTTAAGTGTAACTTGAACTGGCGACAATCTGTGGAGATACTAAACCAGGGGTGCCCAAACTCGTCCTGGAGGGCCGGTGTCCTGCAGGGTTTAGCTCTAAAAGTTTCTAGTATGCATAGTAAGAGCTTGATTAGCTGCTTCAGGTGAGTCTAGTTGGGGTTGGAGCTAAACTCTGCAGGACACCGGCCCCCCAGGACTGAGTTTGGGCACCCCTGTACTAAACAGTCAATGTCAACATCTTAAAACGCGCAATCTTTTTTAAACAAAACGCCAGCTTTTTTAAAGGTGTGAAAAGATCAAATGAAGTGATTAATAATGACAGCTTACTCTTGCTATGTTTGTCTCCTCAGACGAAGGACTATTCGTGAGCGTCTGTTTGGAGCCAGATAAAAATACGCGCGAAGTCTGTCCCGCGGTGACGGTGTAACCTAAACCTTAAAGGTCTATAACCTATTAATATGATCTAATAAATAATTAAAACTGTCATTTCCGTAATGTCAACCAGGCTGTAATGTAGAACTGTATAGAATACAGAATGAGAGATAAAACTGTAATCATAAATTACAATTACCACGCGTAGTTTTCCCCGATGAACATGTCTTGCATCTTTAAGTGATGTTGTGGAGAAATGCATTTGTAGGGTGTTAATTTGGGTCACCAGGTAGAAGGACAGATAAGGTTACCTCTCAGCCCTTTACAAGGTCAGTATCCAATCACAGCGGCGTAAATCTGATTGGTCTGATGTTGTTAAGGTGAGTAAAGCTATTACTTTCGGCACTAATTGAGGAGAAAAAAACAAGTCAAACATGGTGATATTTTCATCTAGCCTAAAACATCTAAAAGTTAAAGTTAAGATCAGTCAGTTTATAAAAAAAAAAAAAAATAAAAAAAAAAATA